TTTTTTTTTTTTGTTTTGGGTAAGGGGAAAAAACAAAACTTCAAGAAAGAAGAAGAAGAAAAAAGGAACAGAAGAGGAAAGTCTTTCACAATTGCACGAAAAAGTGCGTGCAACAATATAGACGGAGATTGCCCGACGCCATCGCCGCCACCAAAGTGACAGCACTTTGCCCATCTGATGATGCCTACTCCACTCAGGCAACGCTGAAACATACAGTGTCTGCCACCCAGTGCACAGAGAAATACAATGCTTGTGGGAAACGCACAAAACGAAGTTCAAGTGCAAAATCACTACAGAGCCCCAGCTGCAGCAACAACTTGAAGCTATCAGGGTCCCCAAGTCAAAACACGATGAGAGAAAAGGATGAGCCATTGAGCCCCCCCGTTGTCAAAAATTGCAGTCCCACCACGACTCCCAAGTCCCTACTGATATCGGAACCTTGGTGGCAAGTTGGGAACCCATGATAACCCAAACAGATATGAGGGCTGTCTGGCAGTCAATGCTCCTGAAGAAAAAAGGAGTTTTTTTTTTTTTTAATGCTGCTCAGGGGTCCTTCAGCCCAAACGGTGTGTGTGTTCTATATGTAATATGATAATATCTCTTTTTTACCATCTTCAATCGGATAGAATGCGCATTCATTAGCAATTTAGCACCCGTCCCCCGAGGGCATGGCCATTCTATTAATAGGAACGGCCCTGCCACAATCAAGGGCCTGAGAGAGCGGAGCGAAGCCAGATCTTCCACCTGGTAAGACAGTACGCTCTGTGGATCATTTGGAAGAGGACATGTCCGCTTACAATTGAGAGAAGAAGGCCAATGCACAGACAGGAAGCAAGCAACATCTTCTTCAAGCTTCTTGAGACGGACATCAGCCTGGGCACAATGGAAGGCAACAAAGCGGCTCATGCAGCGCAATATCATAATAGAGAAAGCCCAGGAAATCAGACGCCAATTTCAACAAGTAACGCTCTGCAAAGGGAGGGTGGCCAACAACAATAGAAGGGACCGTTAGCATTACATTTCGATGGGGAACAGTGGGAGATTAATAGGCGGGACCAG